AGGTACGATGGTGCTTGTGTTTGTAAAAAAACTATTCAGTGGGCATTGAAGATTGCAGTGACATCATGAGGGTGTAGAAGCAGGATCCAGAACCAATCCCGAGTATAGTGTGGGTGCCAGGTGTTCTTTTATGATAGCAAAACGGCATGATTGAGAAAGGATAAGTAGTCTCGAAAACGAATGGTTAGTAGTGTTTTTCCTGGGTTGTAGCATAATGAATAATTTTCACTTCTTTACTGCTTTCTATAGAATTTCTAGTGTAACCTGGGGATAGAGGTGTGAATTACAAAGGACTGCTTCCGAGTCCGGGGGCTGCTTTCTAGCCTGGGCTTGTTCTTCTTTGAGTTGAAGTTTAAAGGATCTGGGTGATGGTAGGTACCTGGGAAGCGCGAGTGCTGTGGTGATGTGCGGAGTGCAGCCTGGAGTGCCAGATCTGAAAGACCTCTGCCTCAGGCCTGCTTGAGTAGCTGGGGATTTACAGCGGCATGCGCCACCCAGCGTCCCAGGCTAATTTTTGTTTGTGTGTTTTTTGCCTGTAGCAGACTGGGAACTCACCTATATCTGTGCATCTTATCTTGAACTGCTGGGCTCCTTGACTCTCCCGCTTGCGCTTCCCAAAGTTTGGGATTTATATGCAAGGAGGCACCAGCCTTAGCCCTGTTCCTAAACAAATGGGAGCGTTGATTGTGTGGGTAAGAATCAGAGGTAGGTTTACGGATCAGGAAGTGGATAATAATCCTCTTGCAGCAATAGAAAAAGTAGCTGAGGATGTGTAATGATAGGCTCCCATATATGCTTGTGTATGTATTATTTTTCGCAAGTTGCGTGTACTTCAGCTGGGGATTGTGTGGATGTGTTTCGTGTTTCTTGTGCGACCAGTCGTTGTGGCGTGTTTAGAAATCTCGTGCATCCCCAGTTTTCGAAGGGACGATAGTTCTGTGCTTTTCTCCATTCATTTAGTGAACGATGTTTAGGTGGCAATTCGAGTTCCTCGTCTGCAAGAGAGACATATGGGGTGATGAGGTCACCCTGCTCCAAGGGGCAGGGCTGGGAGAGAGCTCTGGAAGCAAGGCCAAATAACCCTGCAGGTTAGGCAAGCAAGTGACCCTCTCTGTCTGTGCCAGGTAAGAGTGACGTGCCTTTGCCTTTATTTTAATCCGCAGCCTCACTGATGATCCTGCGACGATTGTCTTATTGCTGCTCTGAGATCCAGAGGAACTGCAACAAATTCATGTCATCTTACTGTAACAGGCAGGGCATACTCTTTGTATTTACCAAGGTAAATTTGCAGTGTGGAAATGTTAAGTGTCTTATGTTAGAAACAAAAGTAACACTGTCACCTCTAATATAAACACAACTTTGAGGTGTTTTTTTTTTTTAAAAAAAAAAAAAAGCTTAACTGTTTTCTAATTGTAAAGCATTATTTTCATTAAAGATGTTTAATCATGACATGCTCTTCCATTCGCTGTATCTGTTTTCATATATGTGGCATTCCTGACAATTCCAAATACTCATGTCTCAAGTTTAAATTAAACTACAATTTATGAAATAAAGGAATTCCTTAAGCGGACTTCACAGAATGCTAATGTATCTATTTGTTGTTTGCGTTATATTAGAAATTATTAGAAACTATATTTTTCCATTTTCATTGTGTTACATTTTTCTTTAAAAAATTTCATTCTCAGCACACTGTGTCCTAGAATGTATTCAATATTCAAATAAAAGGCATTTTGTTTTAAACCTGTTTCTTTGATTTTAGTGTCTTCCGTATATATTTCAAATCATCTTTGATATTTAAATGTTTAATTATTAATGAAAAAGATTGGGAAGGAGGCTTGTTTAAGCCAGCACACTACACTTCCTCAGGAGAAGAAATTCTCTCTCGCTCTGAAAGAGTAATAATTCTGAAACAAAAAATGATTTAGTCTCAAAATGTCCAACGCACTTTTAGGGCCCAGACTGAACATCAGGAAATCTGAGTCAAGGAGGAATTGCACTAAATGATTGACAAGACCCCTTAGAGCTCTAACACTCTGCCATTTCAACCCTGTTCACTTTCTGCTGTGGCGTCAGATTTTAAACCCTTTCTTTAAGTGAAATTGTATGGTTAGCCCTCAACTAATAATAGCAAAGTTGATATGGTTGTGTTAGGTTGGTTTTATTCTTCCCAGCTGAATTTCAGGGAAGTTGTTAAACTTTCAGTGATAAGTAATTAAGGGAAGAAAAAAAAACTCTACTAGTTGAACCAAATAGGAAACCCAGACAAAATTCTTAGATATGCTTAAAAAATCCCAACAAATCTTTAATGATGCCAAAGAGATTTGTTACCACGAGCAAAGCTGGAAAAAAGGCTGTCATCGTTGCAATGTTCCGCTTACTTGCCAGCTGTCAAAGATGACTGAGAAGAGCCTTCGGGTTTTCATGGATAACAGCTTATAATCAAACTATGAAGTAGAACCTAAATGTGAAATCGACCATAGAATATATACTATATCTGTAAAATACTCCAGTGACTGGAAGTTTAAGAAACTAGTTTGAAGCTATGCTGTTTCCTGGACTTTTCACAAAAGGTGGTGGAAGTGAGTGATGGTGATGTATATAGTTTTTATTTTGTTTTGTTTTTTAAGGAAATCTTTGACGTCTATTTGCTTACATTTGATTTCACTCTTTTGTAATATGTAGAATGCAGAATAATGCATAATTTGGATGGTTCTGATTAATTGGTTCTTAAGAAAAGTAGAAAAGGGGTTCTCTGACTTAAAGACAGGGAGTAGTTTATTTCCTTATGCTTTTATTACTTTACTTTTACTACTTTATTACATGGCCTGATGATGTTTTGATGGGCCCTGCTACAAATGAAGAGTGAAATATTCACTGAGTCCCTTAGACCTCTTCATTTATTAATACTCAGCTACGATAGTGCTCATGTTTTTAAGAAACATGCCACGTTCAAACTTGAATATGTTCTTCACAGTCTCAATGGATTCTTCATCCAGTGGAGGTTTCCTCTGGCTTCCAAGCTGGAGAAATTTATTAATTGTGGGGATGTGGCTGATTCTGGCCTTGAATTCCTAAAATGAAAATGCATGAGAGAAAAATATAAAAAAAAAAAAAAGGAAAATACAAATTAGGCACATTCTTGCATATGAGGAAAAGTGTTTAAAATTTATATTCCCTACTGCTGGTGGAGGTGGGGCATAAATGGAATTTTTATATCTTTTATAGCGTTGCCAAGTGATGCTACCCTTACAGAAAGCAAGTTAGCAATATTCCTCAAGAACCACAAAAATGTTCATAGGCAGTAACCAAGCGATCCCACTCTAAAAATGGTATCCTAATAATGTAATATAACATGTGAAAAAAATCCATACCTATAAAGATGTGGCAACATTATAAAACCAAACATTCTAAAGCATCCTGGTGTTTAATATAAAAGAAGTCCTTGTTTTTCTTATGCCATAAGCATTTTTTTTCACATTGTTACATAATCTTTGAAAACACAATCTCTTATGTGACTGCATACAGTTCTGTTTAATGGATGTATCATGTATGTAGACATTTCTTGGCTACTGGACACTTGAGTTGTTTATGATCTTCATTATTTAAAATGTTATTCAGAGCACAATTAATGGAATTTATATAATCATGAAAAATTTCAAAAATATATATAACAGACTACATTCTGAAAAATGAGGCTAACAATACCAAAACATTTATAACATATTAATAATATGAAGTGAAAAATGGAAGCTGCATAATTGTTATGACTCAGATTGCAAATATTTTAAGTAAGCATATTTTTAAAAGATTATAAAGGAATCTACCAACCGAGAAAAGGTGTTTAAAACTCAGGCTGAGGAATCAGACATTTGGTGCTGGGTACAATGCATGGCATATGACAAACTTTGTCAATGGTTATGGTTATTGTTTAATAATGGCTGTGTTACGATGATATTGTTTCTTCCCTGTTTTATCTAAAGGAAGGAAGCATCTTTTATTGAGGTTCTACTGCATTACAAGCAAAGCTTTTGTTGACCTAAGTCCTGCAAGGAGCCTGTCTGAGCTCCCCGTGCTGGGCCAGGTTTCCCTCATCTGCTTTCTCATGTCATTTTATGTTTTAATTTACCACCTGATATTGAAGTTACCTTAGTATATCCTTGTTTCTCCCACTAGGTATGTTCCTTGAGATTATCTTTGTATTTCTAGCATAGCTCTTGGCATAAAGAAGTTAGTAGGTTCTTGAATGATGATGAATGACTGAATGAAAGAATAAATGAATGATACACATTCATTCTCTCTGCAGTTCCTAAGAGATTTTTGGATAGCATTACCTGTAGCACAGGGAAGCCTGCAAGGACACTGGGTTTGCATTCTTCAGCCATTAAGATGACTTCAAGGAGCTGTATGTCAGCCCAGCTCAGCCGATTGCCCACAAGAAAATCTTGCCCTTGGTCTCTTAGTGCCTTAATGATAGTTAAGAAGGAGAAGGTAGAGGATTAGGGAAATACTGCACATATAATTTTATTTATTTTTTTTAAACAGATTCTTGCTCTATAACCTGGGCTAGCTAGAGTGCTGTGGCATCAGCCTAGCTCACACACCTCAAACTCCTGGGCTCAACTGATTATCCTGCCTCGGCCTCCAGAGTAGCTGGGACTATAGGCATGCATCACAATGCCCAGCTAATTTTTCTATGTTTTATAGAGACAGGGTCTCACTTTTGCTCGGGCTGGTCTCGAACTCCTGACCTGAAGCGATCCTCCTGCCTCGGCCTCCCAGGGTGCTAGGATTAATTACAGGCATGAGCCACCGCACCCAGCCCATCACATATAATTTAAAGCCAGCTTGATTTGGCAGAAAGCCTTCTAGAAATTAGGTGACCTGGCTCCTAATCTGTTGGTTGCCACTGGCTAGCTGTGAGCTCAAGCAAATCCCATCTCTCTTGGACTTTCAGGGCGAAAGAGGTGGAATAGCTTAAATCTGCTTGATTTATTCTAAACACAGAAAACAGCTTAAATCTCACGTGTCTTTGTCTTCACTCACCTCCCTGCACCTACCCTGTGAACCTTTATAGAACGATTTGACGCCAAGCCCTAGATTGGTGGTTCTTGCAGGGCTGTGAGGATATTCTCTCCTTGCAGCATCTTGGGGCAGTTTTCTTAGGTTTGCTGCTCTTGGGAAGGTACCTTGTTTGCAGGAAGAACGTCATTCTCACAGGGACTCAAACCTCATTTTTATAAGCCACTTTTCTTTGAATACAGCTATAATTTATGGGTCACTTTGAGTCAAAATCGATCAAATACAAAATAAAAGATTGGAGTAGGTGGTCCTAAGGAATATTCTGGGCCTAAAAATTCCTGATGTTATGATACTTGGGCATAGGATCAGGAGTTAGACTTGAGTACAGGTTCCAACTTTTATTAGTTGTATGGTATTAGGCAAGATACTTTGCTTCTTGAAGCTATGGTTGCCTTATCTATAAGTAGGGATAATAATAGCACCTCTTTTGTGAAGTTATTATGAAGATTAAGTCAGGTAATGCATGCAAAATGCATAGCACAGTGCTTGGCACTCAGTAGACGAGAGCCATCATCCTTATCAGCACTGTTGCTAGTGAAGTTGGTACTATTTTCAGGCATGAGAGAAGTTTCTGTACTTCCAGGTATCTTACAACAAAAACTTCAGTCATTAGCAAATAGTGGTGTTGGACATCTATTTTACTGTCAATATTTATTAAATGATAAGATAAAAATCTCTTACATTGTATACTGATTACAAGTGAATATATTTTAAATAACTTTTGAAGGAGACAATATGGAGAAAACCTGGGTGTAGAATATTCACAATTTGATCCAGCTGGAGCGAGGCGACCGAAAACGGATTAAATGTCATTAAGGGAAAAGCACCAACTAGGAAGTTAGTGTATATGTAATCTATGCCAAACACATACGTGTCAAACAATCTGCATTACATGATTAGGCTTCGAGATTATTGATCTTGATAAATGTGCTTAAATACATGTTTTAACTCATTTAATTAGAAGTATTGTTATTCAACCCAGAAAGGGTGGATTAGACCAGCATTACAGGTGAGTTTGGAAAACTCATCTGGCTAATTTTTTTTTTTTTCCAAACCTTAACATTTTTCATTACCCTTTCCTATACTTACACACATATATATGTCTGTGTGTGTGTGTGTGTGTGTGTGTGTGTGTGTGTGTGAATGTATTTTTTTGTTTGTTTTTGGTCTGGCTCTGTTGCCCAGGCTAGAGTGCAGTGGCACCATCATAGCTTGCTTGAGCTGCAAACTCCTGGGCTCAAGGGATCCTCCTGCTTCAGCCTCACGAAAAGCTGGGACTACTTTTTTTTAATTTAATTTAATTTTGTTTTTAATGATGCCCAGGCTAGTCTCGAAATCCTGGCCTCAAACATTCCTCCTGCCTCAGCCTCTCCATTAGCTGGGACTGCAGGTGTGAGCCACCACACCTGGCTGCACTTCCCAATATAATGAGTGCACCTGGAGGTCAAGAGCACTGATAACTAAAGAAGGCATCCAGCCCTGGTGTTAGGGATGGCAGTCTAAGTATTTGCTTAAAGTGCAAGCTTTTCATACATTACTTTTCAGATGTTAAAAATGTGGAGACAAGACAAAGTATTATTTTTAAAACAATTAGACTATTGCAGAGAATTCTGCTAACTTTATAAACTGCCTCAGCCCCAGTACTATCCAGTGTATTTTAGAAATAATACCATCCTCTCCTCCCCCCAGCTCTCCACTTAGTGTGGGATATCCCTCTCTAGGACCCCCCCCCCCGAAAATAAGGCCCTATTTTACTCCAGATTTAAATCAGGTAACTGAGATTCTATAAGCACCAGAATCACAAATAATGCTGAAGTTATGCATGAAATCCCTTAAAAAATGAAATCCAGAAGACTAGGGTGGGAAGAGGGAGAGCAGATTTGCTATGTAATTGCAAGTGAGGGAAGAATTTTAAGCTTTCACAAAGGGTTTGATGTTACCACTAGGGTAACAAAAATCCCCAGGAACCAGCTGGCTTCTACTGGCCAAAAGTAGAACAATTTGAACATAAATAAGAATAACACCTGATGTGGATTGAAACACGTCAAAGATATTTTAAATTGCTGAGTTCATGGTGATACTAAATAATAATAACTAATTAGTCACTGCAGATGAACCAACTCATTCATCTACCAATAAAATGTCTTACCCATTTTTAGTTTAGTTTGTTTTTCTCCCCCTTGATCCAAGTCCTAAAGCAGGGCAGGAGTTTGTTGCTTACCTTCTCGTAGACTGGGAAGAATCTTGTAGTGGCTCTTGTGAGGATGTATTCAAGATTCATCTCCTTCTCTTCAGGCAGAGAGAGTGGAAAGAACATAATCATGTCACTCAGGTCCCGCAAGCCTTCTACATACATGTCAATCCTAGAGAGAGAGTTCCAGATACACGGAACTATCATTTCATGGGCCAAAGAAACATTTAAAGTAGTGCCTCAGTTTCTCCTGCCTAATTGTTAATATCAGGTGTCTCACTGAGGTCTCACTGAGGTTATCAGGTGTTCTGGAACATTTTTCCATGAACTAAAGCCAAGTGTTTCTATTAGTACACTGTTCCTTTGAGATATTAAGAAAGATCAATCTGGGAGATAGAAAAATCGTAGGACCAAAGGTCGTATTTAGCTTTTTTTTTTTTTGAGACAGAGTCTCACTCTGTTGCATGGGCTAGAGTGCCATGGCATCAGTCTAGCTCACAGCAACCTCAAACTCCTGGGCTCAAGCGATCCTTCTGCCTCAGCCTCCCCAGTAGCTGGGATTACAGGCATGTGCCACCATACCCACCTAATTTATATATATATATATATATATTTATATTTATATATTTTTTTAGTTGGCCAATTAATTTCTTTCTATTCTTAGTAGAGATGGGATCTTGCTCTTGCTCAGGCTGGTTTCGAACTCCTGACCTTGAGCAATCCACCTGCCTCAGCCTCCCAGATTACAGGCGTGAGCCACTGCGCCTGGCCTTAGCTATTTAAATGTTGTAATAACAGTGAGATCACCCTCTACATGTGATATATGTAGAGGAAGAGGTGACTAAGGACCTTTATACTATCAAAAACATCCCCATCTGGATTGAAGGTTCTCAGTCAGTAGAGCAATTTAATAGGGCACAAAACTTATTCCACAAGTTCCCACTTGCTACCACCCATATCTCTGTGCCAGAATGAATGGAAAGATGGGTTAAAGTTTGACAAGGCGCCACCCAGCTGAGCCCTGTCAACTCAGAACTGTGGAGAGAATATAGAATAGTCTGAGCATTAGGGTTGTTGGATTATGTAGTCAAAAGAGTTTTTAAATACAAAGTTTCTAATACATGCAAGGTTTTATCATAATGCTATACCAATGAAAGCACTGTAATAATTCATTTTCTTTTTCTTTTTTTTTTTTTTTGAGACAGAGTCTCTCTCTGTTGCCCAGGCTAGAGTGAGTGCTGTGGCGTCAGCCTAGCTCACAGCAATCTCAAACTCCTGGGCTCAAGCGATCCTCCTGCCTCAGCCTCCCGAGTAGCTGGGACTACAGGCATGTGCCACCATGCCCGGCTCATTTTTTCTATATATATTAGTTGGCCAATTAATTTCCTTCAATTTATAATAGAGACGCAGTCTCGCTCTCACTTAGGCTGGTTTCAGACTCCTGACCTCCAGCAATCCGCCCACCTCGGCCTCCCAGAGTGCGAGGATTACAGGCGTGAGCCACCGCACCAGCCTCGTTTTCAATTTATAAACATTAGTTCTGTGAAAGATCTACGTAAAAACTGCGTTGCATTTAAAGGTACTAGAGGCCAGATGTGGTGCCTCATGCCTGCAATCTCAGCACTTTGAGAGGAGATGGGAGGAGCACATAAGGCCTGGAGTTCTTTTTGTTTTCCTTTGTTTTTTTGAGACAAAGTCTCACTCTGTTGCCCGGGCTAGAGTGAGTGCCGTGGCGTCAGCCTAGCTCACAGCAACCTCAAACTCCTGGGCTCAAGTGATCCTCCTTCCTCAGCCACCCAAGTAGCTGGGACTACAGGCATGCACCACCATGCCCGGCTAATTTTTTCTATTTTTAGTAGAGATGAGGTCTCACTCTTGCTCAGGCTGTTCTCCAACTCCTGACCTCAAGCAATCCTCCCACCTTGACCTCTCAGAGTGCTAGGGTTACAGGTATGAGCCATCATGTCCGGAGCCATCATGCCAAGGCCAGGAGTTTGAGACCAGCCTGGGCAACCTGGTGAGATTCTATCTCTACACAAAATTTAAAAATTAGCTGGGCTTGGTGAGTACCTGTAGCCCCAGCTACTTGGGAGGCTGAGCTAGGAGGATCACAGTGAGATATGATCATGCTACTGCACTCTAGCCTGGCCATAGAGCAAGACTTTGTCTCAAAAAAATAAATAAAAGAAAGAAAGAAAACCCCAAAAACAAGACAACAATGAACCAGAGCATCTTAGAGAAATAACTATATCTAGGAGGTCTGGAGCAGGAGATGTTCAGAATTAATCAGGATCATCATGGTATATCAGATAATGAGGAAGTTATCAGAGACCACTAGGGTAACATCAAAAATCCCCAGGAACCAGCTGGCTCCTACTGGCCAAAAGTAGAACAATTTGAGCATAAATAAGAATAACACCTGATGTGGATTGAAACACATCAGGTGTTTCAGATATTTATATCTGATACACATCAGATATTTTAAATTGCTGAGTTCATGGTGATACTAAAACAATAATAATAACTAATTAGTCACTGCAGATGAACCAACTCATTTGGGAAAATTGGCAAATGGAAAGAATCGAGCATCAATCCTGTCTTCCCTATAGGAAACCACCTCCAAGTAACCAGACGGAAGATGAAAGGAAGTTTCTCCTTATAGAAATATTTCAGATAATAAAAGCAGAAGAAATGACAGTACTGAACACCAATGGCCACTAATATCATAAAGGATAGACAAGCAGACATTTTATGTCTCCTAACAGAAGAAGACACCAATACCTACAAAGTCTTGCAAAAACAAGTAGAACCTAAATCTGATTAAACCTCTAAACCTAACTAACTTTTAGAGAAGGAGTTCAAATACATAGATACAACCTTTTTTTTTTTTTTTTTTTTGAGACAGAGTCTCGCTTTGTTGCCCAGAGCTAGATGCCGTGGCGTCAGCCTAGCTCACAGCAACCTCCAAACTCCTGGCTCAAGAGATCCTCCTGCCTCAGCCTCCCGAGTAGCGGGACTACAGGCATGCGCCACCATGCCCAGCTATTTTTTTTATATATAATCCAGTTGGCAATTAAATTTCTTTCTATTTATGGTAGAGACGGGTCTCGCTCTTGCTCAGCTGGTTTCAACTCTGACCTCGAGCTCCTATCCCTCCTCCCAGAGTGTTAGGATTACAGGCGTGAGCCACCCACGGCCGCGCCTACACAAGATACACCTTGAGAACACCTGTTAATTATTTGGTAATGTCCCACACCTCCCAAAAGCCCTTCCCTGGAATAGGCCAATAAAAGTTGCAAAAATACAGAGACAGAGGAACATGTTAGACTACACTACAGGGATGCGATCAGCAGAAATGTGTCTGTTAGAAACTAGTAGGAAGCAAGAGAAAACTTACATGGACATTTAAAAATACAAGATCAATTTAAAATTTTTTCTGCATTAAAATGCTTAAAGCTAACTTTCTGAAACTAAATGCATTTTGAAAATAAAATGATGGCTTAAGCAATGAGAAATGTATTTGAAACACATCTCCTTTAGTAAAAATGGATTATTTGTTGTTTACAACAAATAGAGAGCCAAATATATTTAATAGAATCAGAAAATTAAAGAAACTCGGCAGTTGGTCATGAATTGATTTTTTTCAAAGTAAATTTTGTGTACGTAGCATTTATTATACTATCCTCTCTCCTTTGATATGTGTTAGATTTTTCTATAATAAAAAGTTAAAAAAACAAGAAAATAATTTTCTGTTAAATCTGTTAAGAACTACACTACATATGTCTGCAAACAAGCCTAAAAAGTGTTTTGTTTTGTTTTGTTTTTAAAGCTTTGTTCTAAGTAAGAAGCAATTGTTGTACCAGGCTTGTTCCTTCAGGTTCCTTCCATATAAGTCATACTTCGCAGCTATGTATCTTAGGATGGCTCTGGTTTCTACCAAATTCATTCCATCAATTTCGACCATGGGCACTCGTTCATACATCAGGGTTCCACCTTCAAATAAGAAAGTTAGATTATTTATTGTCCTTGATAGGCATAATAGTATTTGAAAAGTGACCCAGGGTAACCTAAGGCTAATTATTGTATCATTAGCTTAAATCGATACTGTGGTTCATCCCTTCCAGGTAGGGCTTTTAGAGAAGGAGTTCAAATACGCAGATACAACCTTGAGAACACCTGTCAATTATTTGGTAATGTCCCACACCTCCCAAAAGCCCGTCCCTGGACTAGGCCAATTAAAGGAAACAACTCAAGAATTCTCAGAGAGAGACAGTCAGTATGTCAGTGAGTCAGTCTGTCTTTCTCCACTCTTGGAGACAGACCTGTTTTGTTTTATATTAAAAAGCTACTCGTGTGAAACTGCTGCCTGCTGTGGTCACCCCATCGCACTGGCCCTGCTTGTGATTTTCTTCCAAGCAAGGAGCCAAAGAACTAGGATAGCAGTTCTCCAGGAGGCTGGACCTGACACTTTGGTTGTGTCTGGTCATTCTTTGGCCAAGAGTACCCCAAGAACTGAGAGCTGACTGCCACACTGACAGTACTGTTTTCTCTAAAGGCACTACAAAATGGGACTATGTAATCAAATAGTATTTATCAGAATATTTTTAGAAATTAGGTAAAAATGGAAATACTTATCCATTCATTCATACAAAAGTATGTAGAGTGCAAGACACAATGTTGAGTACTCTGGAAGATACCAAAAAAATACAGATACAAAAGCCTCCTTTCTGGCCAAAGATTCCCCTTCTCTCGTTTCTTACCCTCCTTTCCTATGGCCCCTTGTTCTACCTCTGACCTCCCACAATGACATCCTAAGTGTTAACCTGGCCTCCAGATGGGACCTTCTCCTCTACCCCACGTGATCTGCCCAATTGCTTTCCTGAAGTCATAAGGCTCTGCTTAAAACCTTTCCATCACTCCATGTTGCTTATAAGAGAATAAGCATGAATATTTAATCTCCACCTGCAATTCAAAGCACTCCTTGACATTTGCCTGCCTGTAGCTTCTACACATTGCTCTCACCACTCTCCTGGTGAGACTTTCATTCCCTTCCCCTCCCTTCTCCCCATCGGATAATAGCTCTCTGCTTTGAGCTTACTTTTACAATCTTCTAAAAAATCCTTGCATTAAAACACAAACTCTAGAGAGCAGTGGTTTAATTAAAAAGAAAGGACGCGCTCTTCTCTCTCTCTCTCTCTCTCTCTCTCTCTCTCTCTCTCTCTCTCTCTCTCGATCTCTGCCTCAGAAGGGCAGCAGCAAGGCTGGCCCTGCATTTTTCCCATTTAACACCAAGAGTTGAGCTAATTCCCCTCTCCATTGTCTCAGGATCCAACAGGGAGACAGAACCACACCAGTTACTTTAGCAGACAAAATTTAATATAAAAGAATTAACTAGGTCCTGGAGAACTGAAAGGCAACAAAGGGCAATGTACCATGTTTCCCCAAAAATAAGACAGGGTCTTATATTTATTTTTACTCAAGAAGACACCCTAGGGCTTATTTTCAGGGGATGTGTTTTTTTTTTGTTTTTTTAAGTACGGTACAACAATCTACATTTATTCAAATATAGTTAAGTCATCTTCTTCTGGAACATCATCATAACTCTCCAAACCCAGAATTCCATCCTGAATTTCTTGCGATTCTATTTCCTTTAGAACCATTGGCCCCAATCTCTCATGACGAGGAATAGAGCTCTCATGGGGCAGATGAGAAGGGCTGCTCGTCTTCTTTACCGCTCTGTGACAAATGCATGGGTTGTGCAGATGCGCTGCATAGCCACGCCCATCACAAGGTCTTATTTTCGGGGTAGGCCTTCTATTGCGCAAACACTTAGAAATCCTGCCAGGACTTATTTTATGGGTAGGTCTTATTTTCAGGGAAACACGGTAGTACCATGAATGCGGCAGCTACAGAAAGTAGGTATTACCCCTAGGGCTGCAGAAACAAAGGGAGGGGCTAGAATTACTACAATTTAGAAGCTTGGAGGCGGGGATCCTCCTAGTTGCAAGATCCAAGTGCTCCTTCCTCATGTAGAGAGAAGATATTGGTAGATACAGTTTACATAATTTTCACTGCTCCAATTTAGAATATGAGAGAGAAAGGGAGAGAGAGAGAATGAGCCTTTCAAGTAATGGAGAGACCAATTTATCTCTTTGGTCTAGTGGGACATCATGAGTAACAACACTTTTATCTCACCTTGGATTAATTTCTCAAATTCTTCACGTGTTTCAAAAAGTTTTTCTTCAAACTAAGCAAAGAAAGAAAGAATATAAGAATATGTTGCTGTTGACACTTTTATTGTTATTACTGTTGATATCATGGGAAAGAGTTAATATCATGGGAAAGTGTTTAAAATAGAAGTAAAAGGCCTAACCACCAATTCAACCAACATTTGAAGTAGTTATTGAACCTGTGCCATCTGTTTCTGGGTCTTCATAAAACTAAGGACGTTTTTATATAAAACCAAAGCAAAGAGTTTATTGAATCCAGTTGATTGAGTAATGTCTATCGCCTACTGTTTTGCAGATATAGCAGGCCAGGTGAACTTGTTGGGCCACAATTTGAATTCAGACTACTTCCCTTAACTGGCTCAGACAAGCTGCAGACAAGTGTGATATATCATAGTCAGTACCTGCGAGACTGTTCTATACTTTTAAAGAAAATCATTATGTTTCTTAATACTCTTGAGATAAGTGGAGTTAAATGAAGGCCACAGTTAGCTGATAAGAATAAAATGAGAAGAAGCTGTGAAGTAGACTGAGTCTCTTTCTCTTTTCCTTCCTTCCCTCCATCCCTCCTTCCTTCCCTCCTTCATTCCTTCCCTCCCTCGTTCTTTCCCACATCTTCCTCCTTTTCTTTATTGATCATTAAAGAACTTTATTTGCACCACCTTGGATGAGCTTAGTATCAACAACCTATTACCACAGTATTTGGGCTCCTGTTTGAAAAAACTAATTCACTCACAGCCCAACATTTAAAGAGCGTGTGGCGGCCGGGCGCGGTGGCTCATGCCTGTAATCCTAGCACTCTGGGAGGCCAAGGTGGGCGGATAGCCCAAGGTCAGGGGTTCAAAACCAGCCTTGAGCGAGACTCCCATCTCTACCAAAAATAGAAAGAAATTAATTGGCCAACTAAAAATATATATACCAAAAAAATTAGCCGGGCATGGTGGCGCATGCCTGTAGTCCCAGCTACTCGGGAGGCTGAGGCAGGAGGATCGCTTGAGCCCAGGAGATTAAGGTTGCTGTGAGCGAGGCTGACGCTACAGCACTCACTCTAGCCTGGGCAACAAAGTGAGACTCTGTCTCAAAAATAAATAAATAAAGACCATGTGATAAAAAGTGCCTTTTGTTTAGGAATTCTATAAAGAGTTTTCTGCAGCTTTTCCCTAAGTGAGTGCTCAAGGACCCCAAGACAAAAATACCACGAATAAACCCGGCATCTTACCTCTACCCCGGCGGCTGCCAGGAGCCACCGGATGGACTCCATTCTGCCTCTTCCGTTAAAGTAGTGAAGCTTGGGCTTTTCCGCCATGCTTAAGGATTCCTGGAAATCCACTGAGAGAGGCTGACTGAGACTCTTCTGCACAGAGAAAGAGAAATATGAGCTTACAGAGCAGCACAAGGCTGACCAGAAAGCTGTACTGCCGTCGTCACTCTTGCCCAAGTCAAAGCCACTCCTCTGCACCCGGGTCACCTGCATTCTGTGTTCTGCTTTCTCACACATGCAGTTTATCCTCAAAAATTGGTGTTCTAAACTAGACAGAAGGGATTCGAGAGGAAGACACTGCCCAGCTTTTATTCCCCTGGCAAGTGGCAAATTTTTAGCATTCCCTCCTCCTGTCAAGACAAGCCCAGCTTAGAGAAATAGGGTGAACTCTATTCCAAATTAATCTTAATATTTTAATTATGGCATCTTCCAAAGCCCATGATCAGCATTCAAGAGGATTTTCGATGACGCATTTGGGACTTAAAGCAAAAGTGCAGAGTTAGGCAAAGTGTGCCTTTTCCTACTTTCTTTTTTCTTTGAAAAAGAAAACGTCCTTTTAGAAACATAGAAACATGCTCATTTTGAAGAAGTTAAGATAGGAGAGAAATATAGAAATTAAATACCACCATAACTGCTCTGAGACAGCCTATGAGGCTTGTGGGGTCTGAGGGCAGGCTTGGTGGGGTGACAGACAGGCAGCTTGAGGGACCTGCAGAGGGAGTCCAGGAAAGCAAGCAGGGTGGTGGAGAGGGCTTGGTGGCTTTAGGAGTAGGAGTGTCATCATAGTACAAGTGGAAGCTGGTTTATTTTGCAGCGTATCAACAGGCCCACTTTCAAAACCAGCACTTCTGTACGTTGAGAGCTCAGCAAAATCAATGAAGGAAAAAGGATAGATTGAGAATGTCACTATTTTGGAAGACAGAACGAAAGAAAAGGTGATCTAGGCCAGTGGTTTTTCAGCCCTATCCACTGCCTATTAGAATCATCTGCGGCGCCACACACACACACACACACACACACACACACACACAAAAAAACAAACAGAGACAGCCTGGATCTTGTCCCAAAATTCTGATTTAATTGATCTGGAACAGGATCCTGGTAGCAGTGTCTTTTGAAATCTCCCCAGCTAATCAAATGTGCAGTCATGATTGAGAACCACTGGTCTAGATGATGGTTAACAATAGCCATTGAAATCAGTAATGGGGATTTCTATAATGGAAAGATCAGGCTAGTGACCCTAAGCTTCGAGCATCACTAAAAGTGGGAGAGCTAGACACGAGGGTCCTTCTGCTGTGATACAACAGAAAGTATGCAGCAATGCCTAGGAAGAATTCTCGCCAAAATAGTTAACCTAGAATCCAATCAAGCCTCTAGATACTAGTTTATGGGAAATACAGGAAACAAAGGAACACTTCAGGGATGCATAGCAAAATCAGCAAAATTTGCAAGGTGGAACTCAGCAGGCTTGCTGTTCAGAGTGGCCCCTGACCGGCATGTAAGGATCACCTGCGTGGTTGTCAGAAAGGCAGAACTTCAGCCCCAACCCCAGACCTACAGAATCAGAATCTGTATTCTAAGAGCTCCAAAAATTTATATGCACATTCAAGTTGGGGAAGCACTGTTCTCTGGGTCTAGTGACTAATACATTTCAAAGGACTTTCTACTTTTCCATTTCCATAATAAGACTTTTTTTTTGGTTTGTTTTTTTGTTTTCTTTTTGTTTTTTGTTTTTTTTTGAGACAGAGTCTCACTTTGTTGCCCAGGCTAGAGTGAGTGCCGTGGCGTCAGCCTAGCTCACAGCAACCTCAAACTCCTGGGGTCAAGCGATCCTCCTGCCTCAGCCTCCCGAGTAGCTGGGACTACAGGCATGCTCCACCATGCCCGGCTAATTTTTTCTATATATATTAGTTGGCCAATTCATTTCTTTCTATTTATAGTAGAGACGGGGTCTTGCTCTTGCTCAGGCTGGTTTCGAACTCCTGATCTTGAGCAATCCGCCCCCCCCTCGGCCTCCCAGAGAGCTAGGATTACAGGCATGAGCCACCGTGCCCAGCCATAAGACGTTTTTAAAAGATGTAAAAACAAAGAGGGAGGAGAAAAGAGATTTAAGTGATGCTTTAAACAAATGCAGTGTGTAGACCTTTTATATATTCCGATTGTCGCATGATGATTACAAAAAATATATACAGATGCTCCTCCACTTACCATGAGGTTACATCCCAACAGACCCATTGTGAGATGAAAATATCATAAGTCGAAAATGCATTTTTAATACACCTGACCTACCAAATATCACAGCTTAGCCTAAGCTACCTTAAATGTGCTCAGAACACTTACATTAGCCTCCAGTTGGGCAAAATCATCTCACACAAAGCCTATTCTATAATAAAATGTTGACTATCTAGTGTAATTTATTGAATACTGTACTGAAAGTGGAAAACAGAATGTTTGCATGGGTACCCAAAATACGGTTTCTACTGAATGTGCACGCTTTTGCACCATCTTAAAAGTCAAAAATTCATAAACTGAACCATCTTGAACCAGGTACAGTCTGTATACAGTGGGAGGAATTTGAGCCATGATGGAACATTTGATACTAAGGAATTACTATTAATTTTTTAGGTATAATGATGATATTATAGCATGTTTTATTAATGCAAAAAATGATCCTTATCTTTTAGAGACTCATACCAAAGTAATTATGGGTGAAATAATATGATATTGGGATTTGCTTCAAATTAACCCAGTTGTGAGGGAGAATGTGTGGAAGCATAGATACAACATGAGCGACCTTTTGTTGCTAATTGCAGCAGCTGGGCAATGGGTACCTAGAATTTATTATGTTATTCTTTCTACTTGCACAAATGTTTGAAATTTCCCATTATGAAAATATGTTTAATTGCTCAGCAAACACTGATGTTATTTACGAGGGTTTGGAGCTTTAAAGGCCTGGGGCAGCTTCCAAATCATGAGAAGACTTGGAACAGTGTTCATGACAGCTTCAAAGATGAGGCCGGGTTGGTGGCTCACGCCTGTAATCCTAGCACTCTGGGAGGCTGAGGCAGGCGGATTGTTCAAGGTCAGGAGTTTGAAACCAGCCTGAGCAAGAGTGAGACCTGTCTCTACTATAAATAGAAATAAATTAATTGGCCAACTAATATATATATAGAAAAAAATTAGCCGGGCATGGTGGCGCATGCCTGTAGTCCCAACTACTCGGGAGGCTGAGGCAAGAGGATTACTTGAGCCCAGGAGTTTGAGGTTGCTGTGAGCTAGGCTGACGCCACGGCACTCACTCTAGCCTGGGCAACAAAGTGAGACTCTGTCTCAAAAAAAAAAGAAAGAAAAAGAAAAGATGAATGTGTGGGATCACTGCGAAGCCCAGATGAGCTCCTGATTCAGGTTTAATGATCCCAATCCCTGTGGACACTGAACAGTGACACTGTCTCTATGACACTGTCTCTACTGAGTCTCTTTATAAACCTCCATTGCTTCTGCAGAACTTACAGAGAAAGCTCAATGAAGAAATTAAGCTTTTTTTTTTTTTTTGGTCTGGATTTTTTTTTGGTCTTGCAAAAATAACCTGAGCCTCAGTTTCTTCATATGTAAAATGGGGCTGTGACAACAATCTCACAGGTTACTGAGAGTTTTAAGCGAGATGAAGTATGCAACGTCTTCAGCCTGCAGTGAGTGAAGAGTGATGGTAAGTGGTCCACACCTGTGGGTGGAGGGAAGGGGAAGGGAAGCAGACCCTGGAAGAGGAAGGAGGCTCAAAACGACAAGCAAGAGCTATAGTCATAGCAGTGGGACAGCTGGAGAGACAGGGGGTAGGGGGGGGCAGGAGGGACATGGGAAAATCAGTCCATTGCAAACAGGTGAGTGTTCTCAGGGCTCTCGCAGGATCTAAGGAACAGGCAGGTGAAAGGCTGCCAGGTGCAGAGCAGCAGGGCAGATATGGCTGGAGACACCCTGGCAGAGAAGGTGTGGACATCTGAGATGGGGCCTATCTCTGCTGGGTGGGGCCGGGCAGAGCAGCAAAGCTATGATGGCTAAGTTTACGTGCCAGCTTGACTGGGCTAAGGGGTGCCCAGATAGCGGTAAGATAACACTTCTGGGTGTGAGGGCAGCTCTGGAAGACATAAACATTTGAATCGACAAACTGAGTAACGAGATCACCCCCACCAAAGTGGGCAGGCACCATCCAATCCACAGAGGGCCCGGATAGAACAAAAATGTGGATGAAGGACAAATTCAGTCTCTCTGCCATCTTCTCCTGACTTTGGACATCAGTGCTCCTGTTTCTCAGGCTTTTGGACTTGGGCTGGGACTGACACCATCAGTCCCCCCAATTCTCAGTCCTTAGTACTTAAACTGAAGACACCACCAGCTTTCTTGGTTCTCCAGTCTGCAGATGGTGGATCTTGGAATGTCTCAGCCTCCATAACTGAATGAGCCAATTCCTATAATAGATCCCCTCTATATATCCTATTAGTTCTGTTTCTCAGGAGAGCCCCGACTAATATACAAGCCATTGGATGGTACACGGAGCTGGGAACTGCTCTTCCCCTCTGTGGAGTTCATCGAGCTTTGGGCAGTTACAGCAGGACCAGAATGGGAGCTTTGGGGGAGTCTCTCAGGAAGAGGAGCAAATATGTGGAAAATCTATGAGGTGGGACTACAGCCAGAGAAATAGTGTTGGGTTAGTGTTGTTGCCAACCATTGGTAGCCCATGGCGAGTGTCCTGCAAATATCGATTACATGTTAGTGGCCTGTCCCCCCACCTTGACCAGAAGCCCTTCAATGACCATGTTCTTTGGGGCTTTTTGTCAGTTCCTGGAAGTGCCTGGCTCAGTGTGGAGTCTCTGTGTTTGAATGCTGGGTTTGTGGATGGGTAGGTTGATGGATGAATAATGAACAATCTCATTAATCACCAGGACTGCCTGGATAATAGAATTTACCAATCTTCCTGAGCCAAGGAGTCTTCCTATGTAAGGAACAAGGGAAGAAAAAAAGGACACGTTAATTGAATGTGTCATTCACTCATCCAACAATTGTTTGTTATGTTACTATGCACTGGGCACCATGCTAGGCACTAGAGGTACAATAGTGAGCAAAACCAGAATGGCCTTTGCTTTCACGAAAGTGACAACCCAGTGGCCTACTATGTATCAGTCTGCAGTAACATAATTTTATAATAAAACCAGGACCAGGGACTGGCAGCCCACAGAATTCTACTTATCTCTGTCTCTCATCTCTGCTCCTCTCTGTTCATTTCCTTCCACATGGCAAACGTGACCAAGGCAGCTCCTTGGTTTCACATATTAGAACTACAGCAACTGGAGTGAGACGGAGTTAAATCTCTTGACTCCAGAGCCAAAAATACGGGACAAGGAGCTGATCAGCTCAGCTGGGATCTAGAGCCTGCTCCTTGGAGACCCATCGCCTGTGAAGAGGGGAGGAATGGTGTTATGGTGGAACATTGCAATTCCTGCAGGAGCTACCAAGGATGGGAAGGGAAGGGGCATGGTTATCCCTTGTTTCTCTTTCAGGGAGTTGTGGGCAAGGGGACCCCTGGCCAGACAAAATAGCAAGTATCTTCTACACCAGGGGTCCTCAAACTTTTTATTTTTATTTTATTTTATTTTATTTTTTTTGAGACAGAGTCTCACTTTGTTGCCCAGGCTAGAGTGAGTGCCGTGGCATCAGCCTAGTTCACAGCAACCTCAAACTCCTGGGCTCAAGCAATCCTGCTTGCCTCAGCCTCCCGAGTAGCTGGGACTACAGGCATGCACCACCAGGCCCGGCTAATTTTTTCCTATATATATTAGTTGGCCAATTAATTTCTTTCTATTTATAGTAGAGATGGGATCTCGCTCTTGCTCAGGCTGGTTTCAAACTCCTGACCTCGAGGAATCCGCCTGTCTCGGCCTCCCAGAGTGCTAGGATTACAGGCGTGAGCTACCACGCCCGGCCTTCCTCAAACTTTTTAAACGGGGGAACCAGTT